ACAATGAAAGAACTAATATGTTGTTTTACGTGGCGGAATATCTTATGCAATCAGCACGAACCATCTGTTAATATGAAATTCATGCCAGCGCTTTTACGCGGTAGTTTATGTTGCTTTCTATCCACAGAAATTCGTCAGGCTTCATCTTAAATAGGTACGCCGTGCATTAGAGAAATTTCACGTCGTAGCATATTTCAACTCCCACGAGCAATTGCAGCTTCATTTCGAACCCAAAACTCGCGTATTTGCAATATTACAGTGAAATATCCAGAACAAGCAGAAACAAATGTTGATCCTGGAAAAGAAAAGCCAACTGTGGGGTAGAAAAAAATTGCAGCGAGCTGCATAGCTTGCACGGACTGTAAATTGGCTCGCTAATGAGGCGCGTATTTGAATTTCAAAAAATTGTCAGCGCACCTCTTTTTTTCCACTTGCCTTGCTAATGGAAAAAACGAAGCGATAGAAATGCGCGACGTGTTGCATATCGCGAGCACGCCGAGAGAAGAGAAGCTTCGCAATGACGGTGCCGAAAGAACACTGGCCCGTTCGGCGTGCCCATCGATCTCGCGCGTAGGTGCACATTCGAGGCGCGGGGTATGGGTGATGCGCAAGTACGAATGCAGGCAGGTGGTCACAAACCGATCGTCAATCGCGCAGGCTGGGGAATTGCCGGACGCGCCTTTCGTGCGTACACGCAGAACCCACGCTTTGCTTCTTCTCCATCAGCCTTATATCGTGGACAGCAGCTACGCGCGCCTGTAATGCTCGCTCCGCCGAGCAATAATTCAGCTGCGGCATTATATTGGCGCAGTACCATAAATTTGAATTACCCTGGCGCTTGGAATATTAATTGCAGACGCAAGCCCGCGTGCCCGGCTTAGGCCAGATGTGATCGAGTGTGCCCACCACTGGCCTTGTTTCGCCTTCCAACGAAAGCTTATTTCTTTCTTTTCCCTTTCTCTCGATCTCTATGTTCGTTCACTCTACACATGTCCATTATCAAATTCTTTTCATTTCTTAATCATGACGTGAATTTTAACGTTTTGTTTAACTGATTCTAGTAGTTTTTCTGCCATTCATCCATTACTTTATTTCAGTCCTACGCGATGAAAAAAAAATACTCAACGATACTCTCGACCGCGATTCTTATTTGCTGTATTGACTATAAGGAAAATGGAATCATCAAGTGAACGCAATGAAAGCTTAAACTCTGCAACACGAAGACCAAATTTTTAAAATATTGCATAGCATTAATCGAACAAATTTCTAAATTACGGCACATATATATAATAAATTATTGTTATATATATCTTTATAATTTTTGTATGCAATACTGTATCTCACAAACTACATAACAACAAAGTGCATTATAAAAATGAATAACGCCTGAAAAAGAGGTGAGATGGAAAAATATCAAACACCATAATTGCAAGGCGATGCATGCGGTATTATACATACTTGCGTGCGACGTATGTAAATTGGCAAGGACCAAAGTAAACCGACACCCAATTAATTTAGCTTCAAACGCCTTCTTGCTTTGCTTGCTTACAGGAAAGATAGCAAAGGGCTGGCCTCTCGGTCTCGCCATTAAAGCGCGTCAACAAAGTGACGCTGATTTATAGGAAGGCCGTAGCGTGCTGCCACGTAACCTCGGCTGAAAAGGGAGCGGGGGGGGGGGGGGCAATTACGTTGGTCGCTGCAAGTTGCGAAATTGAATCGGAGAGTTGTCTAGGCGTTTCAAACAAGACTGACCATACATCATCACGAATTTCCGTTTGGCAACGTCGACTTCCGATTTACAAGTCTGTCGCACGCTACCGCGAGAGGCACTCTAGACGCAATGCGACAAAAACAAAAAGAAAAAAATGATACGAGTGCCAGGTGTGGTGACGTGCGTGGACCGTTACGCGTTTACCATAACGCGCTCGTGCAATGCGTATAAACTCATTGCGAAACCGCGGGACGACGAGAAAGCAAGACCTTATTGCGCATGCGAAAATGCCGCTTCGTTATGAAAGCACGTGCGAGCCCGAGCGGCTGCTTTCCTAAGTTTCGTCCTCCTTTTTATTTTCAGCTTATAGCTATTTCTTTCCCCGCGAGCGGCATTGAAAAGAAAATGCTTGAAGCTCGAATGAATCTAAAAAGAAACTAAGGATAGTCGAGTAAATACAGTCCGAGAGAGGTCCTTTGCAATTTCGAGGTAATGACATCGAGGTAAATTGAGTTTCTCTTATTGCCATCTTCTTGCGCGTTCACCCGATTGTAATGCGATCGGAAAAAGTGAGCAAGTTTCTTGCAGTCCCGCAGCAGCAGATAAGACGCTAACGTCAGCCATTTTCATACCCAGTCTGGGAGTTTGCGCAATCGAGCCAAAAGTTGGATTCGCTATAACGTTATTTTCATTGTAATGCCTGTAACGCGTTGTTCTGGAAACCTGCGTGAAATTTTGTGAAAGCTAACGAAAGAGGAACACTTGTTGTCGTTAACTAATAAATATATATGCACCACTACCAAATATCTCCATCTAGAAGGCATAACATGCATAATGCTGCAAATTGAATGATACTGCCGCACGATATTCTCAAGTTTCTCGAACGCAAAAGCTTTTTAGGTCATATACTCGAGATTGCGATGAAAAAATTTACAAAGCGAGGCTTTTAAACGCGAACGAAACTGCGGGACAGAGGTAGCTCCACGTTTAATCCATTACGAATGAAAGTTATTTTAACTTTTTCGTATATACCCAAGATTTTCAGTCGGCAAAAACCAATGAAATCATGTTTTTATTGCACATAATGACGTTCAGCATCGAAATGTTACGAAGCGAAGTAATAAAAAAACGTGGAGCGACACAGCCACTCGAAATTACTTAGAAAATCAGACTTCGCAGATGGGCGCTCACTCGTCTACGTAGGAGCATATAATCACATCTGCAATATCCGACGATTCAGCCGCGCACGCTCTAAACATGCGGGGTACTGGCCAAATTTATAGGCGTCCGCGCAACACACGTCGCCGCGAGGCTATAGAGACAGAGAGAAAAGAGAGACAGCGAGCGTACGTTGAAAGGCGTCATTCGGAGTGGAGCGCGCTATAAGGCGGGGGCTCGGTCAACGGTAATCGATATCGTGAATAAACGCGCTAATGTCGGCACGTCCATCAAAGTATCGGGACAAAAGCTCGCGGACGGCTCGCCGCCTCGCCAGCGCACCCACGGCATACCTGCGCGGCCCGCGCTGATTTCTCCCTAATTGAGCGTGCGCTGCGTTTGCGCTCCGATCGTGCTTACGCCTTTTATCATGGAAATGCCTCTCGGCAAATCGATGACGTTTCGAGGATGCCGCGGCATTATCCGCGGTCGACAGCTTTGACATTTAATGAAAAAACTTGACTGCTGAAATGTCCGTGGAGCGAGAATGCCGATCCGACTGATGAAGAATTTTTCGAATTTTCAGTCGATTAGCGCAGGGATTCGCGAGATTTTTCCCGCCGCGCGGATGAGTGGCGCGATCTGTATATATAGAATTCACCCGAACGATACGCGATAAGGTCTAAATCCGCTCGAGGCATTAGATGAATTGCGGATCATGTTATTGTCGCATGATGTAAGATCCATGAGCCCGAGCTCCATCAACTTTTCTCTCTCCTTTTTTTTTCTCCATTTTTTTCACTTCTGTGAGGCACTTTGTACCTCTTGTGCGCTTTCGACCTCAGCCATATACGTACGCCCATCTTTTTTATTGCTCGTTACCTGCAAAACTTTACGAGTAGCAAGTCGAGACGAGCTCTTATAATTTACCCCTAATGCTTTGCCAACTATATTTCGTGAACTTTTTTTCACTCGACATCTTTGAAAAAATAACGCGTCTGAGTGTCTTACCTTCGATTTTCTTGCGGAGCTTTACAATTCTAAAATTACCTATAACTCAGATACCATTGTATCACAATAGTTTTCTTAACTTTCTATCACTATAATTTTTCTAATGAATTCGTTTTTAAGTATTTTCGACCATATTGTATCTTTTTCATATATAATTATATGAGTGAACAATTTGAAGTACTAGCAATGCAATTTATTTGAACAGTGTTTATTATACAGCTTTCGGTACGTCTTGCCATCTAAATAACGCGTTTAATGAATTTCGATTTTCGTTGAGGGTACCACTCATCACCGAAATTTAGAAAAAAATCAGTAATGCATAAAGGAAGTTCAAGTAAAGTCAAGTGACTTCTTTCACAAGATGATTTTTCTCTTCAATGTTTATTCTCTACTTATTCTCTTGAACTACTCAGTTCTCACTTAAAGAGATATCATGAAAATGTACTTGTTGCGCTTTCATGGGCTATTTACTTGCAACCGTAGCGACATTTACAGTTATTAAAAATTATTAGGAATAAAAGGTTACTTCTCTACGTATGCAAAAAATATACGTAGCTTTAAAATTTTCAAATGAAAATTTAAATATGAAGTATAATTTATTAAATTTCGTTATCATCACATTTATAACAACGCAAGACATAGAATTATTGCCCTTAGTTTATATTTCAAGCCAATATATATAAACTGTAAACATTAGTTATTGAACGTTTCAGTGCAAATGTAAGTAGATTAATAAGTGAAATTTTTATGTCTTTCGAATGATTGAAAACGTATGTCTCAACGCAAATTGAATATTCTTCTCTATAAAGAAAATAAAATTTCATTTATTATCAAAGTCAGATGAGATTCCATCTGCATTGAACAAAAACAGAATTGTAATATTCATCAAAATAATTCATATCTTTATAAAGTATAAAATTAATTAAAATTTTTTGCGGATATGCTGTTTTCTTTAATACGCATATATATATATTCACACTATGTATATATAGTTGCTACCGGTCGCCGGCCATTTTTATCACGGCTTACAGCCATGTGGGTCGTCCGCATGTATACTTTGTACTGTTATTTTGTAAATGATAACCTCTAATATTAATTTACGAAGTGTTTAAATGTTACTGTATAAAACAAATGTCGCAAAATAAATAACGTGTCTCGGAATTACGTAAATAATGTTATTAAAAATTATAAATACTGGAATAAAGGTATGTCGAATTGCCTATCTAAATATATTAATAGTAAACGTTCATTTTACGTTTAAATATTACAAATTACTTTTCAGTTTGTGTAAAATGTTGTCAAAAAATATACTATGTTATTTAATTAATAAAAAAACACCAGGATTATTTCATTCATTCAACTCACTTCATTCTTCAAGAACTTTCAACTATGCACTCAAACAACCTTACCCCATATTAGGTTCTCAAAATAATTTTACAAATTTATTAAATAACATTGTTGAAAAACAACTGTCTCTTTCTCCTAATTCTGATGTCAAACAATATCTGAAAGACAATGCTGGCCATTATCGATCTACTTTTGTAACTTTGATGGATATTTTTCAAATAGACAAGAAGACAGCAAGATCGATTATAAGCGAAAACCAAATGCTTGGTGATGTTCCAAAGAAAAGATTAATTCATAACTATAACAAATTGAAAAATGCTGGTATAAGTAATCAGTTGATACAAGATAATGTTTTATTATTAATGGAGGATTCAAATATCTTTGATAAAAAGCTTGAAAATACAAAAAAAATTGTGAATAATATCAGTGATGGTATATGTTTTATGTACTGTGACATCAGTAGTTTAGATCTTTATCTTAAGCAAAGTACTAAGCGATTTCCTTCTGCTCTTAGTGAATTGGAGTTCTTTCAAGAACAATTGAAGGTAATTTTTTATATTTCAGATTTTTACTATCATAAATATAAATGATAACTTTAAATTGTAGATTGACACTAGACAAACAAGTTTACTTATTTTAAAATATTTAAATTTTATAACATATCATCCACATAATACTTTAAAAAAGTTAAAACTGCTACTTGGTAAGACAAAGTTTTCATAATATGTATTTCATTTATAATTCAAAATAATTATAGTCATAATGGAAATATTTTTCAGATTATAAAGTATCTATAAATAGCCTCATATACAATAATTGGCCGGTCTATTTGCCGTATGCTAGATTGAAATCTCAATTAGAATTATATTCTAGAAATGGTTTATCTCTGCCAATACAGCCATCAATTTTTGACTGTGATAATAAGGATTTTAAAAAGTAATTTTAAACATGTACCATCAGTATAGATTTTCAATACTTCAAAATCATAAATTTAATATTATTTTTTTTAGATTGGTTGATGCACAGTTAAGAAAAACAGAAAACAATTATAACAAATCTGAAATGATTAAGTTTTTAAGTCAAAAATCTGGTTATAATAAGGCTTTAATTGAGGATAGAATACCTCAGAATGTATTTAACAGTTTATCCAGTCTGAAGAATCTAACTACCAAAATAGAAATTTTGTTAAAAGAAGGCTATGAATATCATGATATAATTTGGTCATGCAATGTACTAGCCCTCCCTGATAGTTTGATTACAAATCGACTTTCGATCTTAAAGAAATTAAATCATTGTCATCCAAATTTAGATATTTTGTTATTGTCACAAGGACGTTTTTCCATGCATGTAAATAATATTCAAAGATTAGCAAATAAATCTAAATAAACAATTTATTTCTTTTATTGCCACATCCCCAATTTGAGTTTGAATGTTACATTTTTTTAATGTTATGCAAATAGAGTATATAGCCAGTGGACAAATACAATCTAATGCAATTAAATAAAAACAGTAAACATATACTTATGTTTGATAAGTCATTATATAAAATTAACACTAGTAAAGGTTGGATTCAAATTAAAATTCATTGAATATTTATACAGATCTAAAAAATTGTTTATTGCAACATTTTTTATAGAATTTTTAGAATACAAAATATAAACTTCTCTTAGGTAAAGTCTAATGTACAAAATATAAAAATAATTCTAAATTTGACTTATTTTCTTGATGAAACGATGAGTAGTTATTTTCTAAAGTACTTATACTTATAAAATACATCTAGTATTCTTACTCATCTTTGGATTCTTGTTCCTCCTTTGGGAATTCAATTGGTTTACTATTTATTTCTGTTATTCCACTACTAATACACAAATGAATGAGGTGAGATAAATGTTTCTTATTTTCAACTCCATGTCCTTCTTCAATCATAACTTTTTTAAGAGATGAACTAACTAATTCTCCATATCCAAGTATTTTAGAACGAAAGACTAGGGAATCAGTCCAAATGGAGTCACCAATGTGCAAAAGCGTCTATATTTTAAGCACGACAAATAATAAATATAACTTAACACAGGTTTATTGCTTTTATTGTACAAGACTAAACGAAATATTACCTTGGCGTAAACGTAAGGCTCACGTTCACTCCGTAGATTTTTGTCAAACCATTCCTTTACACTGTTATTGGCTAAATTTCCCCATTCATTTTCTTCGTCAAAAGGTGAAATACCAGTAAGGTAAACATTCACAATTGGAAGCTTATAGTTCAGAAACTCATCCATAATTTCATACAGTTCGTGAACCTAAAATTAAATGCTTTTTGAAAACTTATTCATATAAACAGAACATGATCGAGTTTAAAAAACGAAAATTTGATTGAAAATAAAACTTTACATTAACGCGATCACGTATATTTCCATCATCTATGGATTGGTATTTCACAATCCTAGGTTTGTTAGTTTGTACATGTTCTTCGACAATTTTTAATATTCTGACTCTCGTAAAGCTTTCACCATTCTTAGCTACACAAATTAAACCTGGACTAATTACTTTAGGCGATCGTCTAAAAGTATAAATATATATTAAATAATTTAACATCCTACCAGATCGAAGTTAATGTTAACAACTAGATAAACTAATAATTTTTTAAAACAAACCGGTTTTCAGAATTAGAGTAACAATTTTTCAACTTCATTGATAATTGTGCAATTTTATGTGGAAGAGTAACAACATTTTGATCACCCTTTTTACATTCCAAGACTCGGGCCGTATAGTGAGTAACGCTATGTATATAAGTAACAAGCAGTTTTAACTCGTCTCCACTGCAAATATAATATATTATTATGTAGAGAAAGAATTACGCAAAACATATAAATGCAAAATAAATTTTACATAGAAATTTCTGAGATTTGTGGAACATCGGTTTCTGCAATAACACGATGCCTATCTGAACATGATTGGTTTGAATTGCAATACCCAAATGATTTGATATTGTTGCATAATGGATAATTTTTCTTCTTCATGTTATCTTGTATTTCAAGCCCCTGTAATATTTTAATTAAATTGAAAATTGATAACCTGTGTACAATATTATTTGAAACAATGAAGTCTTACATCAGCTATAACATTCCAGTCCTCTGGCAAATCTACTTTAAATCTTTTCAGAATATCAACAACTCCTTTAAAATGAACACATTCTTTAGTTTCATCAAAGAAAATTAATATTCTACATTTTTTATCTAATTCCTATAAAAGAGGTATATATTTAGTAATAACTGGAAAATCATCAAATTATTTTATGAAAATATATACTTGACCATTATCCAATTTTCCATGAGAACAGAAAATCTTCGATTAAATTGCGTTTTTGAAGTACTGGTCACTGAATAATGAATCAAAAATTCTGCATCTGAAACCGGAAATTCCGACAAAATTTCGTCTGTACAAATGATGACTGGAAACATTCCTGGTAAATATTTTTTCAATTCATTTTTTCGTTCTGAAATAAAAATAAAAACAATTAATTCTAAATAAAAATAATGTAGTATCAAACTACACTACCATCAATTTGAGTAATTTTCATTTCATCATGAACCAATAAAGTCTTTACACCGTTAGCCATAAGAAATTTATTTAGTTCAGAAGCTTCTGTACTATCTAAACAAAATATCATTGTCTTTTGTGTTTTGTAATTTTTTATGGCTCCTAGAATAAAAAGAAATCTATGTACATTTTGTTACAATAATTAAAATTATACATGCGATAAATATATTTTAAAAGTGTTTACCTAGAACTTCATTTTTTTTTTTGTCAGAATGACGAATTAACATACGTCCTTGAACTCCATTATATGCAGCTGCTTCAGTAAATGATCCAATACATGTGTACGAGTTTTCGACGAAATTAGATACAAAAGAATCGATTTCGTTCGTCCATGTTCTAGAAACAATAATAGTTTGAGGTAATCCACCTTGTATACAACCGTTAAAGTCCTTATTGATTATTTTATAATCTTTAATCAAACTTATCACCTTAAATAGAAAAAATTCTATTGCATTTATCAATTTTACACAAAAATTCCAACAATTAATTAAAAAATCTACCTCCTTCAGATATTTACTCAGTATAATATCGGCATGATCCAATACTAGATAAGACAATTCAGAGATATTTAAATCAGATGCAAAACTTTTTGATAGTAGTCGCAATAAATATGTTGGTGTGGAAACAATGATTTGAAATTTATTGCAAATCTTTGTCTAAAAGAAATGGAATTTTATTAAAATACTTGCATTTTATTGATATTTTTCTTTTAATGTTAAAATTACATACCATCAAATCTTTGTCTGAAATCCCACTATAAAAAGCACAGGACTTGATGTTTTTATTGTACGTTGAAACAATATTAAATGCCTCAGTTACATCAGTACAGGTTTTTAAAGTAGCACATAATACTAACACAAATGGCTTTGTTATTGTATCATTTTTTTGCTTTTCTATCATCTGTACAGTAATAATGTTATAAAATATGACAATAAAAAGTTATTCATGTTATGCTAACATTATTGCAAAATACATACTTCTTCATTTTCAGCAATGGCATGTATTATAGGTACTATATATCCTAAGGTCTTTCCTGAAGATGTTGGAGCAATAGTTGTGACATTAAATCCTTGCTTAATAGCTGGCCACATGTATGATTGAATTTGCTTAAGTTTACTAACCCCATTAGCTTTAAGAGCCTAATAACATTACATTATTGTAAAATAAACAATGAAAATATTTTCAAAATCAATGGATGTAAATTCATAACACTTAGCACACCTTGTGTACACTAGTAGCAAATCTTGAATTTGCAAGATGATCAAGTGGTTGTACATTACATGAAATGTTACTGCGAATCAGTATTTTATCAAGTACTTCTACTTTCTTTAAAATTCCGACACGTTTAGAAGCTTTGGGAAAATTATTATCACTTTCAGAATTTGTAGATTGATCTAAACTGATGGTAGTATTGGAAGAAAGTGAATGATTATTCGATTAAATATATATATTTAGGTTGTTTACAAGGACACCACATATATACTAATAATTACAAACTATATACTAAAAGTAATGTTATACCTACTTTGGTTTTTTTTTATTAATGAAAATAACATCTTCATTAAGTTTGGAATTTTTTATAGCCTGCATGAGTTCTGTAAAACAAAACATACTTAATATTTTGTCAATGTTTTACTGTGTAATGCATACTCACCATCATTCCATTCAAGTCCCATATTGCTTTCAATCATAAATTTTCTTAAGGATAAATTTTTGTTATCTATAATCAGGAATAAATCTCCAAAAATTCTATTTGTTCTTTTATGATGTGCTAAAATTTCAAGATATATTTTCGTTGAACTTTCAATTAAGTCTTTTATAAACTTAATAGTATCTTTTGGCCATTCTTTGCAAACACTAAAAAAAATTTTTCTTTACTAATTTTTTCTTTATAAAAAATGACTTTTGACTTACTTTCTTTCTGAATCAAGTGGTAAAATATTATAAATGCAAAAAGTAAAAGACAATGGTTCTACAGGAATGGCACTTGATGGATATCTCGCAATTGATTCATTTGGTACATTAACTACAGTACCATAATCTATTAACAAAACATCAGTTGTAGTTGAACAGATATCAACAACAGTTCCTCTGCAAAACCAACTTGGTAAATCTATATGAGGATTAGAATAGCCCGCTGATATAACTACATGCTAAAATGAAAATTAAAAGATATTGATGATAATTAATGTATCTCGGTAATTTGTATAGAATTATTGATTTACATGGTTAATCTTAGGTAAATATGCTGAGTTTTCCTTCTTTTTGAAAAAAGATTTTGATATCTTTTCTAATAAATGATTTAATTCTTTTTTTTTCTGACCATCCTCTACTGCGTCCAGAGCTTGTATAAAGTATGGACTCAAAATATTAGTGATAATTACTTCCTTAGCAGTACTTGGAATAGGAATATTCAAACCTACAAAAAACAATGTTCACAATATCTAAAAATCTTTGATTTTAATAAATCATGAATCATTGTACATAGGAAATTCTTTTTTGAAATGAAATGAAATAAAATTCACAAATGAAATTTTTATACTTACATTCATTAATTTGAAATACAGCCATTTCCTAAATGTAAAATATTTTTTTTTTGGAGTATCAACATCCGAAATTTTTAAGGTATTCGATCACTGCCAGAACAGATTATTATAAGAATTTAGTTGCTAGTTTGAGGTTTGGGTATCAGCAATCAGCATGGAACATGAGATAATAGAGACTACACTGGCATATTTGAAAGATAATTCAGGCACTCTTCATCTCTCCATAAGTATCAGTAGCGACACTAACGAGCCAGCTGAAGTTAACGATGGCGCGTTCGGCGTTAATATTAGCGCGTACGCGAATTGCGAGCGTACCCAAACCAGATCCAAGGGCAAAGCCGCCAAGCGTATATACATGCGTTGCGTGCAGAAAAGTTTTTAGAAAATTTAGTGCAGCCAACTGTCGAATTCGGATGTACAAAAATCAAAATAGTTAGAGCAAATGATTGTACTACACATAATCATAGCCTCAAATTGTGCGTGATAAAGATTAGAAAAATTCTAATCTCTGTGTAATTACTATTTCCGAATAAGTACTGATATTGTTCATCCAAATTCGACAGTTGGCTGCACTATATTTTCTAGTAACTTTTACGCACGCGACATATGCACCACACGCTACGTATGTGTACGCTCGCATACGCGCTTATATATAGCTATAGAGCCTAGCGCAAAAATTTAATTTAGAAATGTCATTATATTTATAGAAAAAGTAGTTAACAAAATATTGTGCTTATTATAAATAAATTATTTGTTATAATAGTTAATATAAATAAGCTATATCATAACTTGATAGCATTAATGTTTTCTAAAATTATTTACAGGGTAAGAATGGGACATGACTTGATAGCATTATATATAATGTTTTTTAAAATTGTTTTCAGGGTAAAGTAAATGTGACATTATAGGCTCTGATCCTCTAGCTGATACCACTCTCGTATCTGATACCATACCAATATTACCAACCCAACCCATCCAAAACTACCAACAGAATCTTCCGCTAGTGGCGCTGCTGTGCATTAGGATCGCGTATTCGCACTTAAGCATGTTGCGATCTTGAGAATGTTTGAGAGCTCGGAAATAATTTTATACAGACAGGGTATGAGAGCGGGGCCTTATATGTGTGTACTAACATCGTATCGTTGTGGACACGCAGTCAGTAATTCGTGCAGCTTCATGTTGTACTCTTATATCAAAAGTAATTCTGGCTAAACCGGCTAGCCGTTGAAAAGAGATACGATTGATTTGTTTTACAGCTGATTGTTGCCGTGTAACCTCCGCAATGGCTTCTGCTATATTTGCTACTTCGAGGATCGGTAAATGAAAATAGTATTTCATTTGTTCTGTTTGATCGCTTTGTGCTAATCAAGTTAATCAAGCTCATTCACCTTGACTTCGTATGCATTTTAGCAAAAAAAAACTAATATTCTGGTTTTCATACAATGCTTTGGTGAAAGTTAAATTGCGCTGAATAATTTGAGTAGTTGACCTTGTACAGCAATGTATGATTTATATCAATTTTTTTGCTCAGTATTGAGTGAATCTGGGATTAATTAGTATTTCTTTGATTTATTTAAATATTTTGTAATGTTTCAATAAAACTGGAAAATTTGATTTGATTACAAAGTGTTTGTTTTTAAAGCAGACCCTAGTAAAGCATTTTTTAAATATGTACTCTTTATTCAAATTAGATTTTTCTTAAATATGTTAGGCATGTTTTATTACATAATTGATCGTTTCAATCTATACTATGATAATTACTTTGAGATGAACACGAAACAATCGACTAATCTCAATAATTTAGTATGAATTAAAAAATTAACGAAATTGTTATGGATTGTAAATATTTATCGCGATTTTATTGCGCTCAAATAATACGCTATACTATATGCTGAAATGTCAGAGATGTGGACTTTGACCCGGATAGATCTGCGACTGTACATATACGTGAACTTTTATAAATTCTCATATAAATCTTTATACTTCGTAAAAAATTGTATGACTTATATACGAGTTGATATTTTGTAAAATAATATCAAAATTTAACAAATATAATCAAATTAGTATTTCCTGTAAAAAAACTTTCAAAAACGTCATTGGCACGAAGTCTATACGAATGATACAATTGCGTATTCTGAGATATTCGTCGGTCAACATTTTTATTATACTCGATTTTGAAGAATATCAATTCCCATGATTTTATCTTATCTGGTCAGAACTTTCACTTTTAAGCGATCCCTTAGAACATATGTGTCCTCATTTCTATTCATTATACATATCATATATTTTTATCCAGATTGTTTACGCTGAGATCAGAGAAAAATCTATCGCAATGGAATGTTCAAGACGCTGTGCAGAATAAAATGAACTCAAATTGGCGCTTTCCAAAAGTTGCTTTAAAAAATAGCGTAGTAAACATATTTAGTAGATTCTTGTCTTGTGTGCCTTTCCAGTATCGTTTTGCTAGGGTGGAAACCTCACACGAAACGAGAATCTACTTTCCCGTACTTGTATCGCAATGTACTATAATAATTAAAATCAGCAAACTACTGTAAATCATGTCAAAGTGTAGTTAACAATGCAAATACATGCATACGTAAAAGAACCTTTAATAATAATTTAAATGAGAGAATTGAAAAAGATGTTACTCCACTGAAAATATTTCATAACAAAAACTATTTCATAACAAAAGCTAACGAATACAAGATAAATGCCTGCGTAAAAACGATATAATATATTGCAGCTAATATTGATAATTAAAATTTGTATTTTTATTTTTAGTAAGACGATTGAAGTACGGTTGTCAAAGAACTTATTCAGATGGTGCCTTTCCGAAAATCACAACTCACTACACGGTGGTTCCCCGTGAAAGTGATCCAAGGTGGAAAGGTAAAAATATTTTGTTTCTAATAACTTGAATTTCCAATGAATAAATGTTAACCAACGACAATTTTAGTAAATTTTTGTTAAATATATCCAATAGTCAATTTATTGTTTAGTTAAGGAGTAAAATTCGAATCTTTGAAAACTAAAATAAAAAATTAATGAGGTTATTTTGAAACTTTTCGATTTCAGTTCAGTTAAGTTTCAATAGTTACAATAACTCGTCTCTTGTTTATAGCTCTTAAAATGGCGTTTTCCATTAACAAATATATTTTAAAAGAACAAACTCTCTCATAAAACAGATATCAATATGGAAAGGTACGTCGACGAGACGGACATCCTGATAGTCGGCGGGGGTCCAGCTGGTATGTCAGCAGCAATTCAAGCGCGCAAACTTGCAGAGAAGCACGGCAAGGAGCTGCGAGTGACACTTGTTGAAAAAGCCTCAACTGTTGGAGGACACATTCTCAGTGGTGCATGCATAGATCCTATAGCTCTACAGGAACTCTTCCCCAACTGGAAGGAACTTGGGGCACCTCTTCATACTCCGGTCACCACTGATAAATTTGCATTGCTTACGGAGAGCGGCAGGATACCCATTCCCATTTTTAAAGGAATGCCTATGTATAACCATGGCAATTACGTCGTCAGGTAGTGATTTGTAAAAAATAACTTTTTGAATTGATTGGAAAACACATTTCTTTCTAATTCTAATTAAAAAATTACTTCCAATTAATATTTATTTATAAACTAACAGTAAATTTTATAAAATTCCAGGTTGGGCCACTTAGTAACATGGCTTGGTGAACAGGCGGAAGCTGTAGGAGTCGAGTTGTATCCTGGTTATGCTGGCTCAGAAATTCTGTACCATGATGACGGTTCTGTTAAAGGCATTGCAACGAATGACGTGGGAATAGCCAAAGATGGTTCACCTAAAGATACCTTCGAACGTGGCATGGAATTGCATGCCAAGTGCACAATTTTCGCTGAGGGATGTCATGGACATTTGACAAAACAAATTTCCAAAAAGTTCAACCTACGGGAAAATTGCGAGCCTCAAACATATGGCATTGGATTAAAAGAGGTATGCGTCGATCGACTAACTAATTTTTACCGTTCAGAAAATTCTTTTTTTACAGATCTGGGAAATCGATAAATCCAAACATTCTCCTGGAACTGTTGAGCATACTATCGGCTGGCCTTTGAATAAGAATACCTATGGAGGGTCATTTTTATATCATTTAAATGAAGAGACGCCATTAATTGCGATTGGATTTGTTGTTGGATTAGATTACACGAATCCATACTTAAGCCCATTTAAAGAGTTTCAGAAGTTTAAACATCATCCATCAATAAGGCCAACTCTAGAAGGTGGTAAAAGGTAAAATAACCATTTTTAACATTAATTTTGCTAGAAATTTAAACTTTATAATCGATAACTACCTCATTTTTTTTTATTTATAAAACAGGATAGCTTATGGTGCCAGAGCTTTAGTAGAAGGAGGTTTTCAATCAATTCCAAAGTTACAGTTCCCTGGCGGCTGTCTTATTGGTTGTACAGCCGGCTTTTTGAATGTACCAAAAATCAAAGGTACACACAACGCCATGAAAAGTGGAATGTTAGCCGCTGAAAGTGCGATCGAGGCTATCATCGAGGCGGAGACGTCCCCGTCTAAAACCAAGAGCCTGGAGCCAAAGTCATACACTGATAAAATCAAAAATAGTTGGATTTGGAAGGAACTAAAGGCTGTGAGAAACTTTAGACCCAGTTTTCATTCACCTTTGGGGTTGTACGGTGGTCTAACATACTCTGGTTTCTCGATGCTCGTGGGAGGTCGAGAACCTTGGACTTTATCTCATGGAGGTTATAAAATTTTTTAATGTAAAACCAGTAGCATATATCACTGCTCAACGGAATATTTGGACTGTTGTATTGCTTGCAGGTCCTGATAATAAGCGATTGAAGCCAGCAGCAGAATGTACGCTAATCGAATATCCCAAACCAGACAATGTCGTTTCTTTTGATTTGTTGTCATCAGTAGCCTTAACTGGCACAAATCATGAAGCAGATCAACCAGCTCATCTAACGTTAATGGACGATACAGTCCCGGTCAAGAATAACTTGGCGGTTTATGATGGCCCAGAAGGAAGATTTTGCCCTGCCGGTGATTACGTATTTTTTATTTTTATTAACAGTATTATTGATTGAAAATGTTTGTTGAACCAAATTATTTCATATATTTTATAGGTGTATACGAGTTTGTGCCATTAGAAGAAGGTAGCGGGCAAAGGTTACAAATAAATGCGCAAAATTGTATTCATTGCAAAACTTGTGATATAAAAGATCCTAGTCAAAATATTAATTGGGTTGTTCCTGAAGGAGGTGGCGGACCAGCATATAATGGAATGTAAATGATGCTAACTTCTTTTTCAAGGTGCTTCCTGTTAAATTGTTGACATTTTCATTTTTACGTAAAATTTAATTGTAAATAACATATCATATACAAACTACTTTCCGATATTTCGATAGGATTTTTTCACGAATACATGTGTAAATAATATATTATACAAATTACTTCTGGATATCTGGTAGGATTTTTTTCATGAATATATATGTATAAAAATATTGTATCGTTTTTTATCTAACAAATTTCTGAAAGCTTCAACGTGAAATGACCGTATTTTTTTATAAATATGGTTTAAAAATAAGTAATGGTAATTTCAAATTGTGTTAGCAAATTTACAATATTTATATAATTTTACATAAGTTTTCACATTAACTATTACCAAAATTCGTAATGTTATTAGTTTTGTAGGTACTGATTCTCTTTGTATGTACATAGTATTATATTTTATCCATTTTTATACGTAAAGAAAACTGGTAAAAACTTTGTAAGCATCAATTAAAGTGTAAGCTAATTATAAGTTATTGAAATACTACCATACAACTGTTTCTTCGTGAAAATTGCAAGCGTATCAATGCAAATTATTAGCAATGCCATATGAATAAAAGTCTATGATGATAGATTTGCAGGATTTTTGGCGTGTAGAGCATATTTTTTTAACAATAACTGTATATTACTAATACATGCCTTTATTATATATATATAATATGCTGAACTTGATAAATATAATATAACTAAATAATGTTGAACTTCATGAACATATAATTATAAGGATAAATGCGACTTCTAAAACGAAACATATTTTGCTATAAATGTATACATGTTACTTGTAATTGAAAGGTTTGTAAAAACTTGAATTAAAAAAAAATCTTTACAGAAATCGCTATTCTTAACTTTTAATATTATTTTTAGAGTAGATCATAATATGTTCTCATTATTTTTATAATGCTTTATAAATAAGTGGAAATTAAAGTTATCAATGGGTGTATGAAAAGCAAATAATTATACTTTTTATTTTGAGAGATCCATAAAATATACCGGTTTACACAATTACTGTCTGACAGATACAGTCAAAATTTAACATAGACATTTTTTATAGTTATGCACCAGTACAAAAGAATAGTAAAAGAAAAATAAAAGTTTTAATTATACTTAAAAGTCTAAAGTTAGTGGGATCGTTTTACTTCACGTTCCTTTGTAATAAAAAACATCCAAATTTGTTATGAAAGAGTGCACAGTATGTACGTACATTTTCTGCGTAAAGTTATTTATTCAAAGACTGATATCTTTACAAAAAATACTTTTCATTGTTTTACTATTCATTGTTTTTACAACTTCGATAGTTAAATTCGCAGATTTGAGAGTTTTAGAATATTGTTTGCATGCTTATTAATTATTAAGTGATATTGAATAATCACTTCTAATATAACTTAAATTTTCCATAAGTTACGAGTTTTTCAATGCGCAAATGCATTTTCAAGTATAAAAAATAAGTATTTTACAAGTTATAATTCACATTATTTTTATTCATATTTATGATTAGATTTTAATTTTTTTTTATTTTTTATTGAAATGTTTCAATAAAAATTAAAGAAACAAAAACCTAATCATGCATAAACTGAATTTCAATGTTTAATTAATTGCATTTGTTATTTTATTCCATTCTATATATTTTAATGTACTAGAAAATTAAAAAAACATAATAACATTTAAGTCATCTTATGGCGAGTCACGACAAAGATTTTAAGGCGAATTTAAAAGTTGAAATCTATTGAATGTTCTAGGATCGACGGTAATGAAAAACCAACACTACCATAGATTGTCCCCACTAGTTCACATCTGTTTCTCGCCTACCTATTAAATATAAATTGTCTTAATGGATTGTCACGCCTCTGTTTTCTTTGTCTCTCGAAACCGTCCCTTGAGCCGTTGCACTAAAATTGCTCGACGACCGGCATACTGAACGCACTGCTCCGATCTCACCTCTTTCGTCTTGACGATTCATGACTACATAGCTAAAAAATTTCATTTTTCAAGTATCTGCTCTTGATATTGATGAATTTTTTGCGAGTAATTTGTGTTCCTTCTTAGTAAAAATGTGTGTACTTCGCTCGACGGATTATATCTAGCTATATTCACATTTTGTTTCATCCAAATTTTGACTCTAGATTTGCGGGTTTCTCAAATATTCTCTTTTCTCATAAACTTTCACATTCTATTTCTGTCGTTCCTTTCAGTTGCGCTCACGAGGTCACTGGATTTTAATGGTAAGGGTCTTTTCGCTTCTCATATGAATGTTTGTCAGTTTTTGGAGTGAAGCTTGTTTAAATCGCTTGCTATAACCTTACGTATTTGAGATTGCGATGATTTATTATCTTGGTTTCTTTCGTGCTGCGTGAATAATCCATTCATTTACAAGTTTAAATTTTCTTTTATTACCGGATTTTCATAGAACGTAAACATTATAATATCATTTGTGGAATATCCGCGGTTGTGTTTGATTATTACGTTGAAATTGTAACTATATTGCGCGTTCTTATTCCGAATAAATTAACAAGTGAAATTGCATTACGCGTCTATATTAGTTAATTTTTTCCACCTGATGCAAAAGATTAAATTTGTGAAATAAGGTATGTTTCAGATATCTACCAACAGAGAGAAAGGAGAGGGAACACTCCAATTTGCACCAAGTATAGCGATAACTATTTTAATTTATGTTCAAAAATCGATCAATATGTATTTCTCCGTTAAATCTTAAGTATAAAAATTCTTTAAAATAAATATCCTCTCAACTATAACTACGATCAAACTCAATAACTGCACCTGTCTTTAAATATACATAAAATTGTGCTGGATAAAAATAATATTTAAATTTTTGAACCTCCAAGCAACTTAAAATGTTATTCTAAGTAGAGCTTCAAAAATTTAATTTGTATTTCTTATAATCTTCTTTGGTGAGTAATCTTTTCTAATCGCCCGTAGAGAAGAAATTAATACAGTATGCTAAAAATTATATGTAAATTTTTGTTCTTCAAATTAATCTGAATAGAAATACTCTTATAAATATCGGAAGATTTCTAGTCATACTGCTTACTCGTAGAGAAAGCTTTGGTTTACTGAAAAAAAAAGTTTTCTTAATAATTTTCTTAATTCATAATAGAAATATATTTAAGTATCAAGAGTCATGTATGCCATTTTTCACTGTCTGAATGTATGTGTGTGCGTGCATGTGTGCATGTGTGTAGTATGTATATATGTTGTTGTCAATAACTTCTAATATATAAACAATAGAATTGGACGGGCAAGTGCTTATTTGATTTGTGTTTTCCTAATAAAGAGTGGAAAAAAGATTTATATGATTCTCATGAACCAGTTCTTTAAAAACTGAAAAAAATATAATTTTCTTAGTTTTTGAAATTTGGTTTTTTTCTAATATTTTTATACATCCATTATTTGAAATTTTATTATAAATTCTTATAGTACACTATACAATAGCATTAATTAAATACATTTTCTATCTAGCGAGCCTTCATTTAATAGTTATGACGAAAACCCTTATTTTTAAGGACACATTTTTATATGTCGGAAAATTTACAATATTATTTTTCAAAATTTAAAATAAAAATTGAACTGATTTAAATTCATTTAATCAGCACAATGTCCAGCAAATTTTAAGTCATGATGTCGAATGGCTACTGAGACAATTAGAGTTTTGTCTAAAAATAGGTCATTTTACTTTATTAGATAACTTGAGTAATAACGGGTCATGCCTTCAGAAGAACATCAGCAACTCTAGTCGCTGACGAAGGAATTGATGTATGAACATTGAAAAGGCATGGTGTTTGGAAAAGTAGTACCATAGCAGAAATCTACGTAAATGAATCTATTAAGAATAAGATGAATAATAGCAAATTAGTATCATCTGCTATTAATTTGAACCCCAGAAATGTTAGTACAGCTATAATAACAAGAAAATCTTTAGTGGACAATCTTTTTCGAGCATATTTGTCTCCCCATACAATCACATCAGGCTGCTTCCACTTTTTGTGCATTCAAACCTATCAATGCTTTATACGTTAGAAATGTAAATGCAGCATCAAAGTCAAAGATTGTGTCAAATGTTTTGTTAAGAAGAAAAAATATGAACCTTGAAATTGGATATAATTCTACTATAAATTCAACAAAATTGACTCATATTAATACAGATCAATTTGAAAATATTAAGCAGGAGGAATTACAAGAAGTTATAACATCTGATTTTAATTAGAAAGATTTTGCCCATGTAGTGTAGCTACGAAATGAAAGGGAATATCTTGAGGAAATTAAAAATATTACTCAAAAGAAATTTCAGGAAGTAACCTCCAACTGTATTTTAGCCTTTTCTATTAAGTTAAAAATTCGAAATCAAATCTAAAAACAAGAAGGTGCAGGTACAAGAAGAATTTCATGGTGTAACAAGCAGAATTAGAAGTAGTGTGAAACAACTTTTTAGGAAACAAGTTAAAAACAAGATCAGTTTATGTTTTTAAAAATTGTACGTTTACAAACAACCAGAAGTAATTTAAAAATATTTCATGTTTTTATTTTTAATATTAAAGTTTTATTCTATATAAGTAAATTATTAGAAAATTCATTTATATTAAATATTGTTATTTAAATATAAGTTCAAATATGTGTTCAACTGCAGTTTAAGCTTAAAAAGATTACTTTAAATTTGTTTTTTCATAATCAAATAATTTATAAAAAATCTGTATACTGCTGCGTCGTACGCCACCGTTTATGAATTAAGTGTCACCTGCACGCAAATACCCTCACATGTTCTCTGCCTAAACTGTAAAATTTTTTAAGTGCCAAGAGCGTATGGAAGTCGAAAGCGTCTGAGAAAAATGTTAAAGAGCGCGGGATATAAATATACTATCCCGCGCTACAAACATTCTTTCCAGCTGCATTCGGCTTCGAAACGCACCTGGCACATAAATAACTAACATAGACAGGCTTTTGCTATGCTACGCTAGTGTATATAGAGGTACGGTCTTGTACACACGTGTCTATACAGTACACACGCGTAACAACAAACTCGTATAAGTGTTTTGACCCGACCGATTTGAATTGAAAGAACTTAGATTTACCATCGGTACTGATCTCTGCGTGAAATTGTTTTATATGAAAAATTGTGAATTTGATATGTCACTTTTACAAGCGCAAGATTTTCTTGAAAAATTTTGCGCTCGTTACGTTGTTTCTTTGCCAAAAATCAACCTTTCACGCTCGCAAAAGGTAACTAACCTACAAAAATAACCTCCAAATATGTGAGAACCCATGGACTATCTTATATAAGCTAGCAAATTTCTATATTTTTATTTGAAAAAATTAAATGAGAGATCCGACAATTAATTAACGATATTATGTATGAATTTTAAGATAATTTTATTTGCCAAACTCTCAATGTCAAAGTCTGTAAAAGTCCAGAACATTTTTTAAACTCTTATTACAAAATTTAATAACAGTACGAGACTATAATTGCTATTATTTGTTTTCAGATAATAATTATTTGCATAACAGGTAGCACACTTTTATTAGGAAGTTTAGCACAATATTTAAAACGCCGCAGAAGACATCCAATTCCACCCTCAAGAAGACTTCTAAGAGATTCAAGGCAGAGATTGATGAATTCTAAAGCTTCTAATTATGGTAAACTTTTTGTTTCATTTAGTAACTCAAATATATCCATTTTAATGGAATGATATATTTTTAAATTACATACAGATGCTGTGTCTCAAGCATCTTGGGCAAGACGTAGTGAAGTTAGTACACGTAGTCACATTAGTGATAGAGCATCTCTTATATCGTCAGTACCAGGAGGACTCGATGGAGATGCTAAGCTGACCCCTCAACAGTATGGCGTTCTTGGTAAGTAATGGTCTGCGAGTATTATATTTTATTCTGTTATTTTGTTGATAAATGTAAATTTGAGAGGATAGAAAGTCCTACTGAACTTATTAACAATTTTATTTTGTAATACAAGATTGCAAATCATTTAATCTGAAGCAGGGTAGTTGTAACAGATTCTATAGAACAACTTTAGAATTTTTTAATTATTTGTTAAGATAGCTATAGCTTACAATAGTGTCAAGGTAAACATGACACAGAAATTCAAGTAGCTGTTTGTTATATTTGTACAACCTTTGCAGAATAATTGTTATATTTGTTTTACATTATATTTGATTTGCAAAAAAATTGAATTATTTTTAATTACAACTTTGTCGTTATAAAATTTATTTTATAAAGATTTGAGTTTGTAATACACTTACCAAAATTACTTCACTTTTTCCTTAGCTAAAAATAAAACAATATGCTATGAAAAAAGTAGTATTTAACAAAAAGGATATAATTCAATAGAAATTTTATTATTAAAAGATCAAAGTAATTAAATCCTCAAAAATGTTATGAAAAGTTAAAAGGGGAACAAAATATTTTTGTAATTCATATTTTTAATTATATGTATTTATATTTACATAATAATATACAGATTTAAATTGCTTAAATAATCGATTAACCGTTAAATAATTTTTAACGTGTAAGCAATAAGCTGAGAGAAATGATAGCGATAAAAGTGATAGATCAATATATTATAACATTTATTTTTTCTCTTCGTATGTTACGTACACGCGTTTAAATAAGCTTGTTACAGAGATATTTGGCGTATATTTCAAGTCATAAATGCATTTGTATTTTTTCATTTTTTTCCATTTTTCATTTACCAAGCATTATAATACGAGTTTTTCTGTAAATAGACAGTTTAATCTTACATCGAGGTAGCATTCTCGCGTTTATATCTCTTGGCAAAACGAATTTGGCTTCATTATTCTCGTCTTGGGTGTCTGCGCTGTAAAATGTGAGTCGCACCAAAATCGTTTTAATCTGCATTATCTATCCCTTCATTATTGCTGCCTGCTATTGTAAGCATAAAAATTAGTAATCTTATTGGAATGTTTTTATCTTTGCTTTCTCAAACGTAGAATATGTGTATAATAATTTATTAATTAGGACTTTTGTTGGCTGTTTTCGAATGAACATTTGTTACTATTTGATTTATCTTATAGAAATTAACCAATTAATCAATCTATTTGGAAGTGATGTTTTTCAAGTAAAAAGTTGAACAAGTAATGAATGTCAACGAATAAAAAAAGAGTTTGAGAAAGTAAAACAATAATTTGTCAACAATTTTTTTCTCTAATAATATACTTATGGAATAGTTTTCTAAAGTATTTACAACGTCGATGCCACTATTATTATTTTGTCCAAACAAATCGTTAAAAACTACGTTAACGAAACATTGCGCCTACAGCTAAATTTAACAACAAACGCTTTTTACCAAAAAAAAGCAATGAACGTTTCTCCTTTTTCGTCTCAAGACTCGAGCCTGACTCTAAATTCCGTTCGCCAAGGAGCATCACGAAATCGTCGACAAGATATTCGCTTCCATTTTGAAAAAGCAGCTTATCAACAATAATCGAATGCCCATCGCGAACGCAAGTGTCGCAAACACTGCATCATTTGTTTATTGAGATTGACATCGGCACATACTAGGAATTGAATAAGCCCTCGCATAAAACTTGCCTATAAATACTTACGTTGCTACGCTTACAAACCTTACAAACGTCTAAAATTACGCTGCATTCTCAAAAATATAACGATCGCCGATACGCCATAATATCGTATCTCTTCGTAATTATTTTTTTTTCTTATTATTTTATGTTTGTCTTATCGTCCACATTAATTGCCGCACACTTGATCATATCTCTCTCTCTCTCTCTCTCTCTCTCTCTCGCTCGCTCTTGCACACCTTCGAAGGTGGTCCGTATCTAAAATAAAAGTAGCTCTTGTGCTTTTGCGGCTCTTGACACCGCGTTACATATAATATATGTAATTTGTTTGTATATATTATATTTATATTTATCTATACGTTATATATAACGATTTTTTGTCATTGGATTTGTGAGGAATAAGGGTCTTAATCTTTTTCTGCTATCATTATTATTATTCAAGATTTTGTCGCGCAACCCGTGAAAAAGCTTGTTGCGCTCCGAATTACCTCGATTAACAAACAAATAAAACATATATCATCTTTTCGTTTGTTAAAATTAACGCTTATATACTTAAAATAGCCTCTATTAATAATAATAGTTCGGTCAATCAATAAAATACATAGGTAATACAAAGTACGCCAACATTCTCAATAATAAAACATAAAGAAAAAAGGAGGGCGAATGAAAGAAGGTAATGTCACAGTCGGAACGAACTTTTTCACATTTATATCGAAGAAGGCATATACGATCTGAAAGTATTTCGGTTCTCTCTCTAATCTAAAAAATTTTCCTTTTAGGTATATTGTTAAAAGACGGAATGTAATGCACTGTATTTTAATTATTCTTTTTCTTTCTCCTTTCTCTCTCTCACTCTCTCTCTCTCTCTCGATTGCTTGTACTCGATTTTTCTATATACTTTGTGTGGGTTCATATTGAGACTAGCTCTCGTCGTTTACGCAACAAGGCAATAAAGCTCTCTCCATTCGCGACACGACAAAAATAAAGGAAAATACAATTTCTAACTATTTTCATTTCTAGAGGTGTTCTCGTTGCTATAATAATCCGTCAGACATAAAGAGACAAATGCAACGAGGAATAGTCGATGAAGGGTGTGGTGGTGTTTGCGATAAAGGGGGGGGGGGGGGGATAGGCTGACAGAGCATATCTTTGGTCGCTTCACGTCGTCAGGAGAACAGCCGCGACGATCGTAACGAGAGCGGAGGACAGATTGGCGGCCGAGTTGTCATGGTTTTTGTCCTTGAGCGATTGCGGACCGCCGTCGTCGCCTTGCGGCCTCTCGACGATCGAGTTCTCATCGACGCCGACGTTCTCCTTGCTGTACTGCTGCTCCGTTTGGCTGTCGTCGAGATTGTAATGCTGCTGGCGCGTGGTCGTTGGCACAGTAGTCAAGCTCGGCGTCGTCTCTGGCCTGCTCGTCGTGCTCGTAGCAGTGGTCGTAGTCGCTGGTTCGGCCAACGGCGTGGGCGCCGGCGTCGGAACCAGACTGAAATTGCCGAGGAAGTAGACTGGACCAATTTCCGAAGTGACGTCGATTACCAGATCCTCTTGGCGCTCGTCGATTATTTGGCGCGTATTGATCGACGAATTGTCGTCGTAGTGCGACGACAGTTTGCCGCTGTACGGCGTCTCCACGGTTGCGTAGGTGCCGTGAAGCGTGACGTTGACCGCTGTTCCTGGCTCCAGATGCACTTCCACGCTGAAAACCGGCACTCAATTAGATCGCCTCTTTCCAGCGGGGCATTGGCTGAAATAAAAGAACGAGATCTCACGTGTGAACTGCGGTGCGATTCTCTTTGAACTCGATGCCCCACAAAATGTCGGGCAGCTTGGTCTTGTTGACCAGAGTGATTTTGGTCTCGAGACCGCGAAGCATGGCGTGGCCCTGTCCCCAAGAAAGCCGGTAGACGTATTCGTAGGAGAAGGCTTCGGCCATCGTGCCCGGCGCCGAGCCTGCATTGCTGATCGTCGCCACTCCCAAAGTCCGCGGCACCCTCTTGGTGGCCTTGCTCCTTGCGTTATTCAGCTTGACCGAACCGAGCTCGTAAGAGATCGGCTCCGTCTCGACCAGCAGTTGGCCCTTTTCCGAGGAGCTTTCCTCGCCGTTCTGCGCAGCAACCAAGCAGGGATTAAGCTGGCCGCGCCCGAAAAAGTGCGCGCCGCGACAAACGGCGGCAACCGGGCGTTTACCTCCTTGACGTAAGTGATGATGCCGAGCGAGTCCTGCGCGTTGAGCGTGCCGATGTAGTGGACTGGCTTGCCCATCGCTTCGTCCTCCAATGTCACTCGGGCTACGTACAGCCTGTCCGAGCTCGCTACGGTCCCCGGCACCGGTGTGTAATATTTCGTCCAGTTCTTCCAGCTGATGCGTCCTGCGTTCTCCACGTTTTCCAACAACTGATAACGCTCGTACGTGCGTACGCTGCCAGTCAAACTGACGGTGCAATTGTTTTCGCCGTCTCGCCTGGCGCCGGCAACCCAGACACCATTATGCAGGGCGCGGCATACGAAGATCGAACGCGATATCGTGTCGGTGCCTCCGTCTGTTAAATAAGAGCATTTCCGTTTGCTTGTTTATTGGTTTTTTGTATTTGCGAAGCAAAACGCGTAGTTTGTCGACCACCTTCTCGCCGTCAGCGAGAGAGAAAACAACGAGAAGCGTGAGCACGAGAGATGTCGCGTGACCGTAAGCGAGAGCGCGCGTTGCGTTCGACCGGTCATTACGCGCGCAGGCGTCGTCCCACTTTGCATTTTAACCTTTCCGCTCTTCGGCTTATCTCGGAATCGTCGTCGCGAGCTCTTTTCTCACCAAAGAGTTTTCATTGGAGATCGTAAATTAGCGCGAGGCGCGTTACGTCAGCGAGCCGACACGCACGATAACTTGTTTCGTTTCTCCTTGTGTACAAGATGCAAAGCCGCAGTTGGCGCGCGAGACATCGTAAAGCCCGTTGGCAAAAGTTCGTTCCGCTCTCTCTCTCTCTCTCTCTCTCTCTCTCTCTCTCTCTCTCTCTCTCTCTCTCTCTCTCTCTCTCTCTCTCTCTCTCTCTCTCTCTCTCTCTCTCTCTCTTTCTCTCGCTTTTCGACTGTCTGGCTGTGACGGCGAATAGTTTTTAGTCACGAATCGATAAAAAGCCGCACAGCGGTAGACAGCTATGCCGCGCGCCTCGCTCTTAGCCCCGTTCGAGCACGTCTGCTGTAAAAATAGAGCGAGCAGAACAATGAATCGATTCGCGTACAAACCTTCTTTGGGAACAGTCTCGAAACCCCCGATGACCAACTCCTTAGAGGCGCTGTAATGCGACTCGGATATCCAATTGAGCGTGCTCGAGGTGATGAGCTGGTTGTAATTCTTGGACAGGATGTGCACGCTGGTGTCGGCGTTGACGCAATGCTGCGCCAGCAGCAGCGCGCTCAGCGCTAACCACATCATCGCTCTGCGACAAACGAAACGAGCAGCCGTGCTGCGTGAAATCGGGAATGGCCGGTCGGCGGCGCCGGGTTTTCATTCAACCGACCGTCCGTTGCTCAACGACGGCGCAAGATCTTATCGCTCGCGCAAAGCGATCCGCGCAACTGGATCTAGCCGCGTTCCCGCGCAGATAAGACCGGCGTGCGAGCCATGCCGATACCTCCCCGCGCCTGAACAACAGCGCCGAACCGAACAAAGCAACGCCTGCCGATTGACGATTCTCGCACCCTCTTATTCCTGCGCAAAGTACGTTGACCGCAGCTGGCCAGCTGGCGCTCGAACTTTTTTGGCAGTCTGCATTTCAATTTTTTTTTTTTTTTTTTTTTTCGGAACGGCTGCCAAATTCCGTCAGGAAACGTCGCACTACGGGCGCACACTTGTACACCTTATCGAGGTGAATATCTCCGCTCGCGAGCCAGTTTCGCATAAATGTACGTACAGAGCACGCTTTCGCTTTTGTTTCTTGAATCTTTGCCGTCGCGCGAGTTCGCCAAAGTTTTTCTCATTGAATGATCGTTGCAACGGTCATCGCGCGCGGTTAATACATTGGCTGCGAAAGGAGCTCTAGTCGACGACAATTGCACGCGCGAGCAACTTTTCTTTCGTGTGCATCGCTAAATGCCTTTTGATCATCTAAAGCCGGCCATTATGCAAGCAGATCCCGCGGCGATGATAACGCGTAAAACACGAGAATAATAGAAATACACACGCGTGGATCATTTCACGGGATACCGACTCTGCTGCCGAGGTCTTCATTATTGGAAAGTCAACAATAGGCTCCACTGTAGTGAGGAAATTAGCGACGGGTATCCCGTCGTAATGCAATTTTTTGCGCTGATTTCTGTAGACTGATTGTCTCCCCCTGCCCCCCCCCCCTCTCTCTCTCTCTGTCGTGCTTTTACAAGGATGTCATAGTATGTAATTAGCTACGACAGAATGCCTGAAAAGTTGTATTTTGTTGTTTTTAAAAAAGCCGTTGCGAAAACGCGTCGCAAAAAGCCAGCGATGCGTCGGATTTTAAGAGAGGCTCTCGCTCACATTAGTCCCGTTGCCGACCAATTTGCCCTGTCTAGCCACGTTGCTGCACTTTTCGCCAATATATAGTACTGTTACGGAGTGGAAGCGGTGGATGCCAATTTCGCTGCAACCGCTATTCACGGCACGCTCGCTGATTATTATGGAACTTCAAGTTCACGTTCGCGAACGTTTTATACAATGACTATTAGAACGAGAGGTGGCGATACATAGTTGATTTGACATTCGCGCGTCTGTAATGAAACTGGGCGAAGGCTTCCGTGCAATGCGATTCCTCCTACGCGCATGACGCTCACTCGGCGAGATATAAATCAGTCGACGTTTCTGATGGCAATAATTAGAACGCTTGGCGAGCGAGTCCACGTTCCGAGAGATGATTTCAGAAAGCTCCGCTATGGCTACACGTCGAACGAGATTATTCAGATTTTTATGTGGGAACGAGGTTGAAGTGTTAAACGTTTATCATAATGGTAGATCGCTCGAGGAACAAGTCACTCGACCTGTTTCGACGCCGCGCTCGTTTCTTTTTCCTTTCGACAGCTTGCAATTTCGATTGATACCGACATGGGATTTTAATTATCGGCCATATCCTCTCCAGGCTACCTGCGGAAAATTCCGCTAATTAGAATGAAATTCACATCGCGACGTTATTCCGTTAATGATCCGACAGTGATTTAGGGAATCGAGGCAACAAGGCGTGGCACGGAAAATTGCGTAATTCTTTCTAACGAACCACAGGAAGCCATAGATTCTTTTTCGTTGCTCAATGCCTCGTTATGACAATGTCTCGTTTGAATTTTTTTTTCCGCCGACATACCGGAGCACAAATAGAGAGCAATCACGATGGAATGAGAATCCGTTTATCACGTGGGGAAAGAGAAGAGATGAGGTCAATTCAATCAGTCGCGCAGCCACTAATGGACTTTGTGACATGCTCATAGCGACGTTAGCAAAATATGCCGTTGATTAAGCCGACGACGTTGCATCGTTTGCGCGGAGGCGTTCAAGCAAATCCATCCGAAGAAAAGAAAAAAAGAGAGGAAGTCGAGCAATCAGTGCCGAATAGAGCGCGGATTGAGATTGCCGTGGCGGTGCTGCCAGGTAGGTCGCGCAGCGGAGCCTCGGCGACCTTTCGAGTCAAAGTCACGCTCGACGCAAGACAAAAGCAAGGCATTTCCTCGACCGGCGACAGAAGGCGTTACGTGAGACTGCGCGAGGGCAAGGGCTTGCTGGGCCATGCGGCCTCGTGGCATAAGATCCTAGGCTTTGCCTCTTGCCTCCTTGCTTTTTGGTTTCGAGGCACGCGCGCGGCCGTGCTGGAAAGCAAGCAGGACCGACTGCCCGCCGCCCTCGAGCGAGGTCGCGGCAAGGGAGCGGCGCTGCGCTGGCGGGTGGCCTACTTCGAAAACATCGATTCCGCGACGAGGACGAACAGACTTTCGCCGACCGCGACCGAACTGCGATTAGGTCGAGTAGCGCCGTTGCTGTGCCTCTTCTGTACCGCGATTTACGTTGGAGAGAGAGAGAGAGAGAGCAACTAATAATTTTTTCGATTTTGGTGTTTTTTTTTCCAACGAGAGATAGCTGACGAAAGATAGCTGTGCGGTGCTTGGGGTGCTTGGGGAGGAAGATCGATACTGGTCTCGGAGTTTCGGGGTCAGCTGCGTGTTTTCCAGCGCTTCGAAACAATGGAGAGTCGTTGAACGAATTCGTGCGAATAGCCAAGCTAATTCGAAGAGGCAATAAACTTCGGGGCAAAAGAGGGGAGGCACTCCGGCGAACAGGAAAGTGCACTTTTGTCGCGGCACTCGCGCGCGAAGAAAGTCAAGTCTGTTGCGGCGAGTAATTTGCACTTTGCGAGAGGCACTCTTTTGACGCGCGTCGCCCTCTCCTTCCCTCGGCGGACACGCGCTTCGAGCTAATTGAAAATCCGCCGCCACTGTCGCCGCCGCGCGCCCGCCTCGGCACAGAAGGGAACTCTTTGTCCCTCGCCGGGCGCGAGGAAAGCGCGCGCGCGCGCACGAGAGCGCAACGAGCACTGACACCTCGGAAAAATTGTATAATTGCTTCTGGCAATTCGTACGAGTTTGATACGCGCGTCGTTACGTAGCAGAGATAAAATCATCCTCTATACCTTTCGGCGTGGTCGTGGTGAATTCCCCGCTGCGCTGTATAAGCTCGAGACTCTTCTCATTAATGCACTCGCGGGTATCTCTCGTGAGCGTGAAACGGCCGCCAAGCAAACTCTGCGCTGGTACGCGTATTCCGCGCGGTTGAATAGAGCGGCAATTGCGCAAGGTGATAGACAAGCTGAAATTTTTAACGGTTGCCACTTGGCGCGACCTCCCTTATAACGAGGTTTCACGAAAACAAGACGAGGTGTTCGCGAATAGTAATCGCTCTTGTCCATAGGCATACTTTGAAATTAATGACGTCGCGCAGCGCTCGACGACTTTAGACGTCGAAGGCCGTGCGAAAACTGCAGCGCACAATGTCTCTATTTCACCCCCCCCCCCCCCTCCTCCGCCCAAGGGCGCGATTAATCGTCGCGTCGCGTCCGCTATACAGTGCCGGAGAGAATGGAAAAGCTAGCGTGTATATACGAACATCCGTTGCATTCTAAAAGAATTGTCTAGACAAGCTCTCGCTTCGCTCAGGTGATAAGAGAACGAGACGACGCGAGAGTCATTGCATGCAAGAGGCTCTTTTGTTGAATTATACTCGGCCGTGTACACGTCTAGACTGAAGTGTGTTGCAAAGGGCCCTCGAAAAGGAAGACGCTGCTGCTCGGAAGCTACTTTGGTCATCTTTATGCGCACAGCTACCTGCCAGCCGTCGTGAACGCGCGTTTTGCGCTATAGGCAGAAGAAGGTGCATGCCACACAAAAGAGGCTTTTGATGCTCGTCGCGCCTTGTCGACCGCCTTGCGGACTCGCAGAATTCTGGATGCTGTAACGCGCAATTAGGCTTATCGCCGCGTCAACAACGGAAATGAGAAGAGCGTCAAAGCGATCGTGTTATTGCATAGGTATCCACTATAGGCGTATATCTAACGTTATTATCGAATCCGCTTACGGTCTTTACTTGATTTTATTCGTTCTTCGAACTCGAGCAGATTGTCCAATCGAATTGATTCGGCGCTAAGCGCGCGCGCACTTTTTAAGCCGACGCGCTAAATATTCACAAATAACTTGCGTACGTAGCGATAATTGCGATTGCACGTAAGCCGCTCAGACACGAAACGCTGCTTGCATCGATTTCTTCATCTCGAGCGACTTGCAAAATTGCTCGTGAATTTGCGGTTTCACGCGGGCATTTAATTCCGATCAAATAAATGGGGAAATTCATTTGTCCGCAAAATCGAGTATTAAAAATATAACGCACACGAGAGCACATTTCAACAGTCCCCATTGCACCCACAAAAGACAAGGATACTTTAACACATTGAAATGCACACGCAAAAACGGCTTCAAGTGTCGTGTCTTAAGCCTACTCATGAATGAACGAACGTACGCGCATGGGAGTGAGTAAAAGAAGACAAAAGCGATGTCTGAGAAGGGTTGAAAGACCGGCTGTACGCGAGATCGTGTTCAACAAGCTCCACTCTCTCTTTCTTGGTTTCTCGATACGTTTGTCTTCTCCCGTACGTAGACAATTTTAACCTCCTGCAGTGCGCGTGATCAGTCGATAAAGTATACGTTAATGTACTGCTTCTTAACGAGTTTATCGTTCGCAAAAGTGACACTTATTACCATTGTAAAAGCATCGACCTACCTCCACCGCTTCCTTTTTTCTTTTCTATTTTTTTTTTTTATTGGAGACCAGAGCGCACCGGCGCGCGCCATATGGCTAGTGGCGTAATCGAAAACTTAGATCGCACTCGCACACGTGTCGCGCATATGCGCATTATTTACGATGCAGCTGCACTTA